TTAATTAATCAGACTTACAGAATAAAGAATCTAAATAAGAGTCATCTTAATAGATGGTTTCAGCAATTTTGGACGGGTGTATGATCAGCAAAGGACAAAAAGACCGAAAGATAGGAGATCGGATGGAAACGTTAAATGGTGTCTGACGTCAAAAAAGACAGACGTATAGAGTTACATGCATATGTACATTTCTAAGTTTGTCTTTGCTACTGTTAAAAAAAATTGACAGAGGGCTTAATTATGAAACAAGTGAGTGTATAATGGTACCAAGAACTCTTTTAAAAAAGTGGAACTGGTGAAAGTGTTTGCGAATCACAAATATTTCATCAATCAAACAAAAGCGAAACGCTTTAAAGTATGACCGTGTATATCCGTCATATGACGTTATATTTTAGTGCGGCGACTACCATAAACGCACATTGTTTAAAAAACGATATTTTGGAAAGTGTACACCATATTCCTTTGCAATTTTCAGGTCTGATTTGAAATAAATAAAGCTTCCATCATGTGCATTTTTGTTGCTTTATGTCGATTAATAGCAATTTTATCAAAGTTGTGACATTATTTTTGGATCAACCCTCGTATGTAGTCAAATAATTGAGAATACAAACCAATTAACAAAAGTTTACGCAGGGGGAATAAGGAAGCATACAAAATATTCTTCTGCTAAATCAGTGCTGCATTATGACGTCATAGCAGGCAAGATGACGTCAATTTTAGAAATCAGGTTTTCGTAATATTGGTATTTAGCGATGTAATTTAACTCTAGAAAATGATTAGAAATGTGTAAACATTAACAAAAATAAAATGTTTTTATTTTGTTATGCTGTAACAGTCATTATGATTGAAATCGATCACCGATGACGTCATATGTGTACATCGAGTAACTTGGAAATTGATCATGTCGTGTAAAGAGAAATTGGCTAAGACGGCATGTACAAAGATAGGTAAAATGGAGGTTAAAAGGAAATATCGGAAATATTGTGTTAAATTCATATGGAGTTCAATAAATTAAACAGGTATGCTAATTTATTTTCATCGATTATATTCTCTTTCGAAGAGAGTCAGATATATTACGTATCCCGGTCGGGCTATTGTTCGTCATTCTTGACCAAAAAATGCAACAGAACAACAATAAGCTAGATATTTTAAAACATACGATTTGTACAGATTGAAAGTTTGCATTTTGACAAACTTGGAAAGTGCTGCTAGAATCCCGAGTTAAGCAAGGTTGTACGAAAAATCTCGATTCATATGTATAAAATTCAAAACAAAGGGTAAGGTTTCGTGCGAATGTGTGGAATAAATATTTTACGGACAAGATAGTTGGATTCTAGCAGCACTTTTTAGACAAAATAGATGTTTTTCAGCTATATTACATACTCAAAGAAATTATCAAACTCCGGGGTATTGTTGTTCTGTAAGCCTTTTTATTAAGGAAAATTTTGCTATTAATAGAAGTCACGTGATGCCGTGGCGGTGATGCACGTCTTTGTGTTAGACACGCTTTTATCTGTATGCAATAGTAAATAACAGTTTAAATTTATCAGTGGTTTTGGTAATTTATTAAACTAAATTTTCTTCAAAAAGTCTAAATTTCCCGAGAAATTACTTACATGCTTCCTTAACATACCCGCGTATATTGGCATACATTTATATACACCCACAAACATATTTAATTTCTGCAATGGAGGATTATCAATGGTCTTCATAAATAAGTTTCATACCAAATGTGGCATCTTAAAAATATTTACTGGATGCATATATATTGTTCTATGAAAAAAAGATATTGATATCCATCTAAAAACCTGTCGAAATTCCCAAGTCAAAATGATTTGCTTATTTTAGCAGTTTATAAACAGTTATTAGGCAGTCTGGCAATTTTTTGACATATTTTAGGCAGTTCTTAACAGTCTTAGTTTTAACATTCCTTAAAACTGCTTACAGACTGGCTAAAAAACTGATAAGAATTTGTGTAAGCAGTTCGGTATTGAACAAACTTAATCAGTCAAAGAAGCAGTTTCTCAAAACTGCTAAAAGTGCAACTTATTCATTTCGACTTCCTATAAGAAGTAATACAACACTTTTTAACTCTTGGTGGTCTTAACGTTCACGAGCCTTCATTGTCTTACTCTTAATGCTGCCTGATGATAACGTCACAAATAATTGGGGGCAAGGCAAGAGTTTCTTATACAGAAAATAAAATTAAAAAATCTTACTTGAAATGATACAATAGTTTATAATAAATTGAGACTTCATTTTATAAAAGGCATGCGCATATGAGCTTCTAATCATTATCCCATCAACTTGCAAATCCATTCCTTTAGTTACATTAACAACTTGCTGTGTCCCCCTTGGTTGCTTGAAACTAAAAGGTTGTATCCAATGAGGAAAGCCTTTTCCACATCAGTTCAAAATTACAAATTGTGAAGATGTTTGTGATGGTCTGGAATATTATATATATTTATACCCATACAGTGAAGAAGTAAAATATGCTAAGGAAAAACAATGATATGTGATCACCACATGCATTGGATTGACAAGTGTATCTGAATTAATTTCCATGAGATGGTAGATCATCATTATAAAAATCTGATCATACATGCATGCAGCAACAATGGAACGGGGTGATATAGGAAATTTTTTAAAAAGATTTGTGTGCAGTAAAGTATGCTTCAGAAAATATGGTAAGTGTGTGGGCTTGTATGTGATATAATAGTAATCCTCTCTCTCATTTGGATAACTATTTAATTATAAAACATATAATCTAGTTTGTATTTTAATTATTAGTACTTAATATAAATCCAAAATATTTGCAGATAAATTTAAGCTAACTGATATAGGGATCTGTAGATTAGTACACTGTATTAACCGTGAAGCTCTAAAGTTGCCACTCATTTATGGAAGAAAATGGACTTAATGAAAGGACTTATTTACAATTCATACCTGAATACCTGATTCATACCTGATCTAAATCTCAATATTAAGTTAAATTCTCATATGTGATGTATTTTTTCAATAAATTACCCAGGAAGCATAAATTATATGCATTTCATTGCACTGTATTTCGTTGTATTGTATTCATATATCGTGTATATAGTGGTGTTATCTTCTTATAAGTAGACAAGAATAGTGCTTATAGCATTCTTTTTACCCGTTTTTAAGCAGTTAATAAATTTTTAAAAGGTCACTGAGAGTCATTTCCATATAAGTAGAGCAAACAAAAGAAAACACCTTTAGCAGTTATTAATAATTTTTAAACATTTATCCTTAACCTTCCTATTGACTGCTAAGATACTGCTAATGAATTCGAAACTGCTAAGCAACTGCTAAGTTACTGCTAATGAACTGGCTAGGTACTGCTTAAATTGTTGAGGGCTAAGAAAACTGCCTAATGATCAGAATGACAAAAACCAACAGAGGAAAAGGCTAGTAAAATGTCTAAGAACTGCTAATACACTGAACTCTTTAGGTTAAACAAGAGGCCCATGGGCCACATCGCTCACCTGAGCACTGTGGCTAGGAAAAAGTAGAAATTGGTTTATTATTGAAAAGTTTAAATCCAAAAGTAGTCCCAGCTTTGCTATTCATGAGATGATGATTTTTAAAGAATGTTTGCATATATTTCTATGTAAAATTTTGGTCCCGCCCTACCCCCGGGGTCATGATTTGAACAAACTTGAATCTACACTACCTGAGGATGCTTTCATATAAATATGATCAATTATGGCTTTTCTATTACGGAGAAGAAGATTTTTAAAGAATTTCCTATATATTTCTATGCAAAACTTTGGTGGGCCATTTTGGCCCCGCCCGACCCCTGGAGGTCATGATTTGAACAAATTTGACTCTACACTACCTGAGGATGCTTCCATATAAATACAATCAATTATGGCTTTGTTATTCTTGAGAAGAAGAATTTTAAAGAATTTTCCTATATATTTCTATGTAAAACTTTGGTAGGCCATTTTGACCCCGTCCTAGCTCCGGGGGTCATGATTTGAACAAATTTGAGTCTACACTACTTGAGGATGCTTCCATATTAATATGAACAATTTGGCTTTGCTATTCTTGAGAAGAAGATTTTTAAAGAATTTTCCTATATATATTTCCATGTAAAACTTTGGTCGGCCATTGTGGCCCCGCCCTACCTCCGGGGGTCATGATTTGAACAAACTTGAATCTACACTATCCGAGAATGCTTCCATTAAATATGATCAATCATGGCTTTGTTATTCTTGGGAAGAAGATTTTTAAAGAATTTTCCTATATATATTTCCATGTAAAACTTTGGTTGGCCATTTTGGCCCCGCCCTACCCCTGGGGGTCATGATTTAACAAAATTGAATCTACACTACCTGAGGATGATTCCCCATAAGTTTCATCTTTCATGGCACAGTGGTTCTTGGGAAGAAGATTTTTATAACATGGCACCAAATTTTCACTATTTCTGAATTATTTCCCCTTGAATGAGGGCGTGGCCCTTCATTTGAACAAACTAGAAGAATCCCATTTACCCAAGGATGCTTTGTGGCAAGTTTGGTTGAAATTGGCCCAGTGGTTCTAGAGAAGAAGTCGAAAATGTGAAAAGTTTACAGACAGACAGACAGACGCCGGACAAAATGTGATCAGAAAAGCTCACTTGAGCTTTCAGCTCAGGTGAACTAAAAACTGCTAAAGAACTGCCTTCCGCTTTGACTTGGGTTACTAACACTTGTCACCTTCACTAAAAAAGTTTTCAAGCTTTACTAGATTGAGATAAATTCCGACTGTCATTTTGATTAACAAAATCTTTGTCTGTATCTGACCCTCAAACTAAGAGTAGTTAACTTATTTTACAGGATGAAGATGGCAAAGAAGACTTCAATACGGCTTATGCAACTCCACGAATGTTCCTGACATTCAAAAGTTAGCGGATCTTAATTCAAAACACATGAAAGACAGAAATAATTCATAGTCTCTTCCAATAAGTATCAATATCACCTGATATTATCCATGGATTGTCAAAGTTAGAAAAAAATGACAAAAACCATGTTCTCATTTTCTTACATTTGTTCAAAAAAATCAGTAATAAATAAGTTTTAAAGAAATAAGTTTTAAGTTGATATAGAGTTGCTTAAATTTTGTAATGCGCCTGTCAAATTTCATCAGTTTATTTAATACTGAATCATGTTTTTCCCTTGAATATGCTAAATCATCTTAAAATAAATATTCATTCTGTCAGAGCCGTACAAGTACCAGATGAGGGCCTATGTTTACCAAGCTCGCGATCTGCTGGCCGGGGATGAGACCGGTCTCTCAAGTAAGTATATTGCTGGCTCACTGCCCCTACTTCTCATACTTACCAATACTACATATACAGAAAATTATTAAACATCACATAAAGAGCAAACAACTAGCTCGCTGACTGTACTTCTCATACTCACCAACTACATATAAACAATTTTTTTTAAACATCGAGAAAAGAGCAAACAACTGTTTTTTTTTTTATGCGTATTATATGGCAGCTGTATGTAAATGTAGACCGTCCTTATTCAGACTTATCTTCTGCCCATGTTTTTCAGACCTGTAAAAAAACAAACACTACTTTTAATGCAAACTGTATAACATGCTATTTATAAAATTAAGCAATCTTACTCAGACTAATCGTCCCACGTGTATTTCAGACCCATATGCCCGCATTTCCTTCCTGACCCAGAGCTCAGTAACGATGAGAATGGCGAAGTCACTCTGCCCCACCTGGGACCAAACCCTGATTTTTGAGGAAATTGAAATATACGGTGACCCCCAGGCTTTAGAGGAAAACCCCCCAGAAGTTGTGATTGAAATATGTGATTACGATAAGTTTGTAAGTTGAAATTCAGAATATTTATTAATTTATTAACTTTTGTGTCATATTTTAATTAAAGACTATATTAATCAAAAATTCTAGTCAAATGAAAGATCAACTGTTTGAAATTTCACACTGATTTTTGATTCCTGTAATTCTTTGCTCTTCGATCCTATCACTAGTTATTAAGAATGAGGGGACATTGTAACAAAAAATGAAATTCCTTACTAGCTGTCAAAAAAGAAAGCTACATAACTATAAAAAATAAAGTTTACAGAATACAATGACACAATGTGTATATAGCACTATGAGCTTGACTATCAATTTTTCATCACAGCAACATTACGTTTACCTTATTTATGTGTTTTATGTAATTTTTCAGGGGTCCAATGAGTTCCTGGGCAGAACGAAGGTCCAACCGATGGTGAAGCTTGACCCGTCCGATGCCCGCATGCCTGTTCTACAGTGGTACCCTATCACGCGCGGGCCAGAGGACGGAGGGGAACTGCTGGCCGCGTTTGAACTCTTCCTGGTATGTTTCCAAGATAGTTCTCCGAACTAGTTCTGAGATATCTCAAGCTCGGACACAAAAAAACTGATGGGAATAAGTGACAGTCTCAGAAAATCATAAGATTATCTTATCTGGCTACATTTAAAAGTCTAATAATGGTCCAGATTACTGTTAAAGCTATAAAATTCAGATTTAATTTCTATTTGCTTTTCAGATTTATGAGATTAGCCTTAATATTTTAGAAAATAAATAAAATCATTATAATCTGACTCTGTCGTATACACCCATATTATATAATTCTATTTATTTAATGGGATTCTAACAATAGAAAAATAGTGCTTAATTTCAAAGTATCCTTTTTCATCTGTTATGTGAATTTAGAAGATTTATTATATACATGGCTCTTTTAAATTTTGTTTTAATATTTTGAAGTTTTATTCTGAAATTATCTGCATATACTATTGTTTACTTTTCTATACTAACACTCTCTCCTCAATAAAAAAAAACTTCATTAGGATCAGGGATATGAGGTAAAATGAGTTATTTCCCCTCAATGAACAAATATTGGCAGTGGTCAACATGGTGATTGTAATATTAAATTTCTTTACCTTTTAATTAGTTTATTTAGATCGAAGTATTCTTTTTTTCTTAACTGAAATTACACTTTAAATTAAAAGAAAATGATATAATCTTAACTGGTTTAGGATTTTTTTTTTGTATCACTTTAAAATTAAAATGAATTGCTATTGTATAAAACAGAATTGAAGAGAACAAAATGTTTTCACAAAATCTTTGTATTTCGACTAGCAGGTGTAGAAGACTTGCTTTCAAACCTCAGATTTTCAATTTAAGTTAAAGCAGATTTGGTTGTGGATTTACTTCTTCTATTTTTCTTACTTCTATGAATTATTGCTTTAGATACCTATTGTACCATAAATTCTTCATTAACCAGTTTAAGAAAAAAACTAACTGCATCAAAAATATATCATACACAAACACTATACTCATTAGAACTCTGATTTCATTTTCTATGCTTATGAATAAATTAGATATCATACAAATACAGTTTGAGTACATACAGACCTTTGATTTTGATCACTTTATAATATTCAGGTGCCAGACAAGAATGCTTCAATGGAAAGTCTGGTCAGTACACTAACGCCCCCTGGTGGTGTTATACTAGTACTTACACTAGAGGCTAGACACTCAGTATGCTGTGGATTCTACTAACTTCCACCAATCCTGTCCAAAACTATTTAAGCTATACTAAACCGCAAAAGAAACGTCGCATTTTTTAACGAAATATTTGATAATATGAAATATTGTTTGTAAATATTATAATCTGTGCTAAATATGCATGAACACCAAACGTGAACTCTACAATCATTTAAAGGTAAGTTACGCTTCACTGATTTTAGCAACTTGTTCAAATGTCATTGAATCTCTCGCCTCCCGTGGTACACACTTTCCAGCATTAAATTGAAAAATGTTAATGCTCATGCTTTTCACGCTTCATTAAGGGTATAAATACCACGAACATTTAAATGATTATCAGTGTAAGTTTTGAAAGCAGAGCTATGCCACGTTTGAATCGACAACAGAGGGACCAAGCCATAGGAAGATTACATGCTGGGCAAGCTGCCAGGGTGAGAACAAATGACTTCAACTGCAGTATACGCACAATTGAACGTTTACGCCAACGTTTCAGTGCATCTAACAGCACAGACGATCGCCTGCGAAGCGGTAGACCACAAGTTACAACGCAAAGACAGAACAGTTTCATAGTGCGCCAGCATTTGAATGACCGATTTACAAGGGCATCAGAAACAGCACGCAATACCATTGGAACACATCAGCGACCCATAAGTGACGACACAGTACGTCGTCGGTTAGCAGCAAATAAACTCAGATGTAGCCGTCCATACAGAGGTCCTGTCCTTACACAAAGACACCGTCGGGCACGTCTACAGTGGGCTTTACAGCGGCAAAACTGACGTAATCGACAATGGAATAATGTCATCTTCTCCGGTGAAAGCCGATATTGCATTTCCACACACGATGGTAGAGCAAGAGTTTGGCGAAGGAAGGGTGAGCGTTACAATGACAACTGTGTTATGGAACTGATCCATGGGGTGGTCTTAGCATCATGGTGTGGGTTGGTATTGGCCTGTATTCGAAACTTGGCCCTGTTGTCTTCCAGAATCTTGGTCCAGGCAGTGGAAATAGTGTAACAGCTGCCCGCTACATTGATCAAGTCCTGAGGCCTCATGTTGTACAGCATTTCAACCAACATCCACACAAGACGTTCCAACAAGATAACGCGCGTGCGCATACAGCCAGAATAACTAGGGACTACCTGCAGCAGAACAACATCGCAGTTATTGACTGGCCAGCTCTTAGTCCCGATCTAAACCCCATTGAACATTTATGGGATCACATCCAGTTGAAGCTAAACCAACAACAACCAAGACCGACAACTGCTGCTGAAATTTCTATGGCTTATCAGCGTGTGTGGGCGACTATTCCTATGGCCTTCATCAAACGACTCATCAAATCTATATATCGAATATGCATGGCTGTAATTAATGCCAATGGTGGTCATACACGTTACTAACGGAAGTGCACTCAGGACAGTAGGAATCTGTGATATTGGCATTATTTGACATTAAATTGAATGTGTATAACTCTAAGACAAATGTTAGATAATTAAAAAAGAAACATTACATCAATATCAAAATAAGTGCATTACTTTTTCAAAATCTAATGCGACTTTTCTTTTCGGTTCAGTATATATATAAAACCCGTCTTCATCAATTTGAGTTGCAAGTCTTGTTTCAGAAATGCTGGTTCCCATATCAAAATAGGGGTTTTATTCAGTAATCACTGTTTTGCTCTTAATAACTCAATTTCCTTGTATTCTACAACCTCTCAATATTTACTACATAAGTAAAAGGTGATAGAAACCTGTCACATGGTCAGAGGTCATGGTTATAATTTAGGATCTTTTAATTTTTTTATTGTATTTACTACATTAGTGTAGAATTATTTAAAAAAAAAAATAGGAATCACAGGTTAAAAGGCAGATAATGCATTCTTCAGCTTCTGCAATTAATCACAATTAGCTCTACTTATCAGTAACAAAGATTTATCTATATAGTATTATCTTTTAACAGGCTATTTTCTTCCACAATGAGAAGCTAGTTGATGTTCAGGGTTTCAAATTATGTTTAAATCTTGATTAGTTGATGTAAGCATTCATACGATTGATTTTGAGTATATTTTGTACATATACATGTCAAGTTCAGGACGGGGATGTAAATTAGCTTTTTTTGCACCTTGTATGACATATTTTTGAATTACTCTAAGTTTTAATTTTGTGAATTTTGGTAATTACTCTCAATGAAATTTAAAAAAATAAATTAAGTGCACCTTTTGAGAGGGTTGACCTTAGTTATATGACATAATGAAGTGTAAGAATTTAAGTTATTCAATTGTATAACAGCAAATTAATTTTGCTCTTTCTTAGTTAGATGACAAGACAGGGGTGTGTTAAGTACAACTTTAGCCAAGTAATCTTTCTACGCTTATAATGGCTTCTTTTTTTATTTCATGAAGACTGCATTACCAAATCATGTGCAGTAAAGTCCAGTATTACATATGTTTATATTAATAAAATACAGGTTAACGCTTCCTATATATTCCTTTCCATAAGCATTATAAATGAAATGTATAGTGTTGTTTGAAAATATCCAACTAAAGATCTAGCTGTTATTAGTGAACATTTCATGCAGATTTATGCATCAAAATATCTTTTAGAGTAGACATCATAATTAAGATGGAAAGCTTGTTAGATATGACTTGTGACTAAAATATCAAATATTTAATGTCAGATTAAGAAACGACACTAGAGACATGATTTTCCTGTAATACTCTCTGTAGTCTTGTATAACTCAGATTAATACGCAGTTTCTTTTGTTTGCTGATGTGTAAATAGAAAAAGTTTGCATTACAATGGCCAGCTCTTTTGTGTAGTCTGTGCATGAACTCAAACATGTTAATTGACTAGACATTCCTTGAGAGGGGAGGGGGGCACTCAGAGTGATTCTTGAAGCCCTCCATGGAATAAATGATCTATAAGTTATACATGTACATACTGCCACCGTATGGCAATATTTAAACTCAGTATTTAAGTAAAGTTTTCAAAGGATAAGTTAAAAAAAAATATTGAGTCATGGTATTTGTTAAAGTTTTTAAAATAAATATTTGAATATAAATTCAGAAGCATCCGAAGATAATTAAAAAGGAAGTATCACAATACATGAATGCATACTTTCCAGTACAGTAAATATCAAGGCAATATATTTTGTTCATTCTTACTTATATCAAAAAGGTATACATTGTGTATCTGAAGTTAAAAGATACGTATTTATAAATATACTGACATATATTCATACCATGTAGATATTATATATGAAATAAATGGCCCCTTCCTTTATTATAGCTCATATCTCATATCTCTTTCACGCGAATGCATCACATACTGATCAAAGCATGAGCAAGTGGTCAATGTGAAATGAAATAAAATTTTATTGCATTATTTATGGAAATGGTAATTGGTCGTCTTATATGATAACAGTATGATTTATGATGAGTGATAAATTGAAAAAAACATTGTGTTATACTGTAAACCAACTGGTTTTTTTTTCATTAATATGAGTTTATTAATATCTATTACCTGTCCTTTTTAGGTCGCCTGAGTAACTCAGGTGACCTATTGCTATCCGTTTTCGTCCGTCATCGTCCGTCGTGCATCGTGTTTCGTGTGTTTACATTTGAACATTTTCCGCTTCTTCTCTGAAACCTCTGAACCAATTTCAACCAAATTTGGAATACAGTATCTATGGGTGATTGGGAACAAAAATTTCATCCTCCCTGCCCCCCTGGGGCCTGAGGAATTGGGCCAAAACCACTAAAATTATGAAATCTTTAAAAAATATCTTCTTCTTAACTCCTGGACATCAAGCAGCAAACTGTTGGCATGAATGTTATGAGTATTGAGTCCTCTACCAAAATTTTGAAAATCATGGCCCCAGTTCAGGTGTTCTAGTGCTAGGGCGGGGCTCTATAGATTATATAGTGAAAATGCATTATTTCTTTGAAAATCTTCTTCTCTGCTCCTGGGTATTAAATAAACTAACTAAGCACATAGTTATGATGAGCAAGAGTGCCTCTTCCAGATTTGTGAATTTTATGGTCAGAGGTTCTGGTGGAAGGGCGGGGCTCTATTCATTATATAGTGGAAATGCATTATTTCTTTGAAAAAATTCTTATCTGCTTCTTGGTATTTAATAAACTAACTAAGCACCTAGATATGATAAGCAAGAGTGCCTCTTCCAAAAATGTGAATTTTATGGCCCCAGAGTCGGATTTTTAGCGCTAGGGCGGAGCTCTTTAAATTATATAGTGAAAATGCATTATTTTTGAAAATCTTCTCTGCTCCTGGATATTAAATAAACTAATTCAGCACATAGTTATGATGAGCAAGAGTGCCCCTTCCAGATTTGTGAATTACATGGCCCCAGGGTCAGGGTTCTGGTGTAAGGGCGGGGCTTCATAGATTTTATAGTGAAAAAGTATTATTTCACTGAAAATCTTCGCAGTAGCTGCTGGCACGAAAAAGATCCCTCCCTGCTCAATGGCCCTGAGTGCCGAGTATAGGACGAAATTTGCAGCTCTCCACTGGTAAATGGTGGCGTCTCAATATGAGTGAAAAATTCTCGAGATGGACGTTAAACAATATACAATCAATCAATCATTTTCATGTTTAATCTTGTTTGAAATTTATACTGAATACATCATGTACATGCTCCTGACCTGTCACTAGTAAGACATGTCTTCATTTAGATTAAGTGTCAAATTTCATTTTATATACTCAGAATGTATCAAAGTCCAAATTTTTATTTGTACTAATGTATAATATTTTGACTCTAATTATAAAAAGATTTGTTATAATTTTTGTAATCAAATAAAAATTTAAAAACACTTTTAAAATTGCATTTTTATTGATGGAAGCAAAAAAAAAATTAATAAGATTATAAATTATTTAATCAAACCTCTTGGACAATCTAAGAAATATGCCTTTAAGCATGTTGAAGGCCTCCTTATTCAAGGACAATTAAGGTAGGATTCTTCTCATATTTCTAATATTTAAAAATTAATGAAATTTTCACAAAATCAAGAAGACAATATCAGTAAGTGAAAGTATCAGTGAAATTAAATTTGGCCGTTTTATATTAGAGGCAAGGTCAGGTCAAGTTCATAATCTTGTGACATTGAGAATGAAAAAAAAAATGTTGCCAATCATGTGATACCTACTTCTATTTCAAAATTTTAATGATTGTTCTTTTTGCATAAAAACATACAACTATATCGGGCCTATAGCATGATATTACCAAATTTACATAAATAATTTAACTTAACTGGATATTGGCTAATCCGAATTTTCTCTGTTTTTCTTAATTTTTTAGGATATATTTCTTATTTTCATATGCTTCCTATATTTAACTTTTTCTTATTTTCACATACAATAAAGTAGTCTTATAAATGTACAAAATGACACAAAAACAAAAAGTTTTGATCGTTTACTAAGAGTGAAAAAATAATTTTTGATGATTTTTGTTTCAAATCTGCACTTTGATAGGAAGCGTTTAAAAGCTTACAGAGTTCTATTTTGTTTGAAAATTCATATTTATTTGATATATTTTGATAGTTGCGGCCCTCATCATTAATTTAACTAACATTTAAAAAATTTCTCCAAGTCTTCGATTGTGTAAAAATTATTACTACATAAAATGTTCTATTATAATCTTGAGAGGCAGAGAAGAAGATATTTTCATACGCCACCATTCCGCCAAAAATATAGTCCCTGCTAGTTTTCAATTGCAGTTTACCATTTCTATTTAAAGTTGTACAATCGTGATGAAGAAAGGAAAATATGGTCTTTAAAAGCTCTTACATCTAAAGATATAAGACATGTAAGCAAGTATACTTTGAATATTTCATCTAGTCAGAAACCAGAGAAGAATCCTACATTAAGTAAACAGATGGTTCATTTGAAATTGAACATTCCCATCTTGAGTGGATTTGATTGACTTATTACTAAAGAAGCCAAAAATCTAAGAGATAAATGTTTTTCTTGGGAATAAATTAGGGGCTTCATTTTTAATCTTCTAAAGAACAGTCAGCTAGGCCAAGGTGGCTCAGGTGAGCGTTGTGGACCATATATATATATATATATATATATATATATATATATATATAGAAAGCACAGAGAAATTCACTTTTACAAGGATACCCACTTCCGCCCCAGCCCGGGGTTGAACTCTCGACCTACGGAATCTGTCTCCTAGCAGTACAGGAACAGCGCGTTAGACCGCTCGGCTATCTAGGCAAGTTAAAAAACTTGCTTTCGATGCCGATGGAATTCTCACAACGCTGCCCTACACTACACGGTCATTGAGAATGGAAGTGAGATACAGTTATTTGGACATTAGCTTTTAGAGGATTGTTACCAATACATGTTGTGATGAAATTAATTTTATTTATAAAGCACAAATTACAACAACTCTTAAACTAATATAACTGCCCTAAGTGAAGAAATATTAATATAGAAAGCACAGAGAAATTCACTTTTACAAGGATACCCACTTCCGCCCCAGCCCGGGGTTGAACTCTCGACCTACGGAATCTGTCTCCTAGCAGTACAGGAACAGCGCGTTAGACCGCTCGGCTATCTAGGCAAGTTAAAAAACTTGCTTTCGATGCCGATGGAATTCTCACAACGCTGCCCTACACTACACGGTCATTGAGAATGGAAGTGAGATACAGTTATTTGGACATTAGCTTTTAGAGGATTGTTACCAATACATGTTGTGATGAAATTAATTTTATTTATAAAGCACAAATTACAACAACTCTTAAACTAATATAACTGCCCTAAGTGAAGAAATATTAATATAGAAAGCACAGAGAAATTCACTTTTACAAGGATACCCACTTCCGCCCCAGCCCGGGGTTGAACTCTCGACCTACGGAATCTGTCTCCTAGCAGTACAGGAACAGCGCGTTAGACCGCTCGGCTATCTAGGCAAGTTAAAAAACTTGCTTTCGATGCCGATGGAATTCTCACAACGCTGCCCTACACTACACGGTCATTGAGAATGGAAGTGAGATACAGTTATTTGGACATTAGCTTTTAGAGGATTGTTACCAATACATGTTGTGATGAAATTAATTTTATTTATAAAGCACAAATTACAACAACTCTTAAACTAATATAACTGCCCTAAGTGAAGAAATATTAATATAGAAAGCACAGAGAAATTCACTTTTACAAGGATACCCACTTCCGCCCCAGCCCGGGGTTGAACTCTCGACCTACGGAATCTGTCTCCTAGCAGTACAGGAACAGCGCGTTAGACCGCTCGGCTATCTAGGCAAGTTAAAAAACTTGCTTTCGATGCCGATGGAATTCTCACAACGCTGCCCTACACTACACGGTCATTGAGAATGGAAGTGAGATACAGTTATTTGGACATTAGCTTTTAGAGGATTGTTACCAATACATGTTGTGATGAAATTAATTTTATTTATAAAGCACAAATTACAACAACTCTTAAACTAATATAACTGCCCTAAGTGAAGAAATATTAATATAGAAAGCACAGAGAAATTCACTTTTACAAGGATACCCACTTCCGCCCCAGCCCGGGGTTGAACTCTCGACCTACGGAATCTGTCTCCTAGCAGTACAGGAACAGCGCGTTAGACCGCTCGGCTATCTAGGCAAGTTAAAAAACTTGCTTTCGATGCCGATGGAATTCTCACAACGCTGCCCTACACTACACGGTCATTGAGAATGGAAGTGAGATACAGTTATTTGGACATTAGCTTTTAGAGGATTGTTACCAATACATGTTGTGATGAAATTAATTTTATTTATAAAGCACAAATTACAACAACTCTTAAACTAATATAACTGCCCTAAGTGAAGAAATATTAATATAGAAAGCACAGAGAAATTCACTTTTACAAGGATACCCACTTCCGCCCCAGCCCGGGGTTGAACTCTCGACCTACGGAATCTGTCTCCTAGCAGTACAGGAACAGCGCGTTAGACCGCTCGGCTATCTAGGCAAGTTAAAAAACTTGCTTTCGATGCCGATGGAATTCTCACAACGCTGCCCTACACTACACGGTCATTGAGAATGGAAGTGAGATACAGTTATTTGGACATTAGGTTTTATATATATATATATATATATATATATTTGGACATTAGCTATATATATATATATATATATATATATATATATATATATTAATATGCAGTGGTGCCTCTTTCAAAATTGTAAATTGTGAATTTCATGGCCTCTGGTTTCAAACAACAACCAAATTTAATTGTTTGAAATTTGTTACACAATACTCAGGTGACCTATAAGGCCCGTGGGCCTCTTGTTTGAGAATTAATTTGGTGTTCTTTTGAAAATAAGTCTCAAAATTATACCACATATTTCTTTATACATTTTCCGGTACATGTACTAAAGTATAAAAATTGAGCTTGAGTACAAGATTTGTGCTCTAAACTTTATTTTTACTACATGACAATCTGATATTGTTTATTCAAAGTATATCTTTTTCACCTCATAAAAACAATTCATTAAGTTTTATAACATGGCTTTTGAAATCAGTAGTATATCCTCCCAGAGGCTGGTTTAAAGTCCTTGGATGAGAGCACCAGTATAAATAAGCTATGAATCTGTTGATCTTTTAAAGCTTGCTGGTTCAGACCTTCCATTCTTACCTCCAAAGAAAGGAGATCTCTTCCTGATACCCAATGGAATCAGACCAGTTATGCAGAGAACAGCCATAGAGGTAAAATCTGGTTCTCTATGATGTCTTTAAAGAAAATAAATATTTTATGAATTTTATATATTGATGGATGAAACAATGACAAAATTTACTAGTAAGAGTGGCTAAATATCATCAAAGTAAAACTGACAGTGGGTAATACTAAATATTCAAGTACTTCGGATTTATATTACTTTGATTGAATGCCTCTAGAATATTACTTAATATATATGCTGGATTATTCAATAACAAAGAGTAAATTCTCTGCATTAATTTTCTAAGTTGTGTTATTTGGGTCACACCCTGACCCCATATGATTAAGAAAATTATGCTTTTGATTTTACGATCCTTATTTATATAATTTTTACCACCATTTTGTAACAGGTTCTATGCTGGGGTGTTAGAAACATGCAGAAATTTCAGCTGGCCGCAGTTACCTCCCCTAGTGTGGAATTTGAATGTGGAGGCCATGTGTTAGAATCCAGCACTATCAAAAACTTAAAAAAGAACCCCAACTTTAATAAGAATGTCTTGTTTTTTGATGTTGTGAGTATATTGATACATATTTCATTTTGTACAAAGGGCCCATATTTTATCATGTTCATGGGATAATTCTAATTTATTTAGAGTAAATGTTAAAGATTTGTAGTTGTTATTTAGGCAGTGTAAATCTATTTCAAAATAGGTTGACAAAAAGTTAAGAATCTAATTTCAATGCATTTAATATACATGTATATAACTGGCTTAGTTGTTATCATAAATGATTTTCCCTTTTTTTGGATTAATATTAAACAAAATCGATAATGCTGAAAAAGCTATAGTACAGATTTCCTGTTGAAAAAAGACTGTTTAGATAAAAGATCTGTAATATGTTATGATAAAATTTTGATGATAACTTTTAATTGTAGATGTTGCCCCGTGAGGAGCTGTACATGCCCCCTATGAATATAAGAGTCCGGGATCACCGAAAGTTTGGGAGGAAGCCCACGGTGGGGATCCATGTCCTGAACCTGGAGAATTACCGCTGTGACCCGATTAGACGGGTGCAGGAGGAGGAAGAGGAGGGGGTACAAGGTAAATCTGGAAATCTAGGCTGGTGTCTGTGTGTTGGGTAGTGAATGGGGTAAACTATATATAAAACTGAAAATCTAAGCTTGTCTATGTATAGGATAAGTTAACCATACATAGGCAGGATTAGGTAAGATTGAAATAGGTTGAGACAAAATTCACTTCTAGGTTCTTTGTACGTTTTTCAGATATAGATCAAAGCTTTCATATAAAATTCAATTTAGAAAAATAATATTGTGAAAATAAAAGTATCTGTGGACAATGTTTAAGAATATTTTTTTCAAATATCTTAGTGTTAAGCATTTTGTGTTTTCTGTATGTTTTCTTTTATCTATCTGTCTGAAACTTTAAAACCTTGCTTAAAACATTTAAACTAATATGGAAAGCGTTCTTAGTTTGATGGGAAGGTAATTCTTCACCCAGAGGTATGTTGTGGCCCTGACTCAAGGTCAGTTGGACAACTCCGTAATAGAGAAAAGCTGGTACAAGTGCTTTGAGTAATGGAGGAAAGCCAGAAGCTGGTAGAAATGTAGCCTTTGATCATAATGTTATAACATAAAACCAAAGTCATTTGATAAAAGACAAACTATGAAAATTAGAGGCAATAATCTTTTCAATGAAGAAACATAAGTCCAACTTTACATTTATCAATGTTCTCCATTATATCACTGTTTACATGTACAGTGTACATGTCCGCAAGGTCGCAAAAACAACAATGATCGATCTACAATAACATTACTGTATTGGAATATACAAGGGGCGGGCTTACTGGCGGTGAGATTAAAGCGAAGTCCGCTTCACGCATCAGTGCGTAAAGCGGTCTCAGGAAGCGAACGCCGGGTACGCTGTAGCGGACCCAGAGCTGACCCCGAGCGAATGCGGAGCGAACCCGGAGCGCACTCAAAGCGCACCGGGAGCGATCCCAAAATTTCTGAAAGCGAAACCCGAAGCGGACCCCAAGCGAACACGGGAAGCGAACCCGGGGTCCGCTCCGGGTTCGCTCTGGTGTTAAGTTGTGTCCGGTCGATCACTACTGTAGTTATGATGATTATGAGTGCCTCTACCAAAATTGTTAATTTTAGGGCTTCAGGATTAGGGGTTCTGTTGTTAGGGGGGTGGGGCTCTATTGATTATATTGTAAAAATACAGGAAATCTTTGAAAATCTTCTTCTCTGCTCCTAGGTATTAAATAAACTAACTAAGTGCATAGTTATGATGAGCATGAGTGTCTCTAACAAAATTGTGAATTTTATGGCCCCAGGAATAAGGGTTCTGGTGTTAGGGCGGGGCTCTATTGATTATATAGTGAAATACATGAAATCTTTGAAAACCTTTTCCTCTGCTCCTGGGTATTAAGCAGATGAACTACCTATATAGTTATGGAAAGGGCCCTTAGCTTCCAGAATTGTGAATTTCAAGGCCCCAGGAACAGGGGTATCAAATGGGGGGACTATACTTAAAAACTGAAAATGAATGAATTGTTTGAAATCTGCTCATTGGTATTAATCAAATATTTTTGAAAAGTAAGGATGCCTTTTCAAAAACTGTGCATTGTGTGGATCTAGGCCTAAGGGTCAGGGTTCATGTGTGGTAAAGGCACTACTGATTATTGCTGAATATTACTGATAAGTTGAAATGCAATTTTTTGTTCTCTACCCTGCTTATGGGTATTAAGTAACCAAACAAAGCAACTGCTAAATGTATAGTTATGATGATCAATGATGCCTCTTTCAAAATTGTTAATGCCATAGCATCTGGCTTAAAAGATGAATCAAATTCAATCACTGGAAAATTGTTGCTGATGCTCAGGTGACCTATAAGGCCCATGGGCCTCTTGTTTTTGGTCTCCTTTATTTTGAGGAAAGTTCCTATTCCAGATTATGTTTCTTTGTTTTTGTTTTAATTCATAGAGATTGAAATTCATTTTTGAAATCAAATTGTCATCAGAGCGGTTCTGACTGTATTCGAGTGCCCAGAACATCCTGAGTTGCCGCCCTTGTAGGAAGCTGATTACTCTCTCATAGATACATATTCTAGATTAATTGTTTCTGTTGAAAAATAAATCATGGATAAAGGCTGAGTTAAGCTCGTAACACATCAGAAATAACTTTATCTTGCTACTCTTGTGTGATCCCATAGTTGCCCCTGTAGATTCTCTCTCAATTAGTGTCTTTTTAGATCTATCATTGGCAACTAAGCTTTTCACTTCAAAGTTACTGGCTCTTAGTTGCTATAGAACTTAACAAAAAGTACGTAATTAGAAAAAAATATTTCTATCTATATATCTTTTTCTCAAACTAGATATTACAGCAAACTAAAATACTTTATCAGTTACAACATAACTTCTATAAAGACCCACAATAAATAAATAATAATAAATCATACCATGCACGGAATAACCGTAACTAAAATATACACATATGATGCATGTTAGTCCAAACAAATAAATCCTGCCCTGTATTTTACATCCATGATATTATGGGTAACAATACTTATATAACCCAATGCTTATTAATTCATTGCAGGAGAAAATCTTGTTTAAGTGAGAATACTGAACTGTTTATATGCCCATGCTTATATCTGTTTCCTCATGTGATTTCAGTTTATAATTTAGAACAAGTATGATTGTTGATTTTTTTCCTTTAAAAATCAAAAACATTTTCAGTAAAATTCCAAACCAGAGAATGATTCATTCTTGTGTATTACCAGTAATTTATTTATTAATTTTTTATACGCCTGTCTTAAGACGGGACGTATTATGTTATAGGCTTCATGTCCGTCCGTCCGTCTGTCTGTCCATTCCTGTCCGGCTCATAACTTGAATACTATTAGGCCTACGATTATCAAACTTTGTCAACTGATACTTCTTGGATGGACGGTGTGTCGCACACTAGAAAACTATTAGACCTAGAGCTTTCAAACTTGGCAAAAGTATACATCTAAGGTAGAAGGTATGTCGCGGCCTATTTCAAGGTCACTGTGACTTTTAATTTAAGTGATTTTTTTTTTTAAAACAAAGTCTTATAAATTTTAAATTTCAGTATCCTAAAAAAAATGTAAAAATATAGTTGTATCCTTATTAAAAAATGTTCAATTAAGTAAAAACTTATTTTTTCATCATATACTTCACAGATGTCTGTAACAAATGGTAATGTTTTGAGAGAATTCCGTTTGTCCCATGGGCATAATTATCAAGCACTGGTGAAGGAAAATTTTGATAGCAGAAATGTGAATGTCAAATTAGAGAGAAATTAATGATTTTATTGTCGGGAGCTAACAGGCAAGAGCATCTCTAGATCTGATCATGGAGCTGTTATCTTAATTTATCTCTTGGGAGTTGGGCAAAAACAAATGGCCTCATAGTTGCTTGTGTTAATTAAGAGTTCCTGATGGCTATAGTCCAGATAAAGATCTTTCAATTGGTGTAATGTAATTAAAACAAATTGATGTTTTACTGTATGATTAAAACAAATTAGTATAGTATAATGTAATTAAAACTTATAATACATTTGTTCATTGAAAAAAAAATTTCCATTTATATATATTTGCAACAAATTGCAGTCATGTCTCACTTAGAATTTTATAGTCCAAAGAATAATTCATTTTATTTTTTTATTATTAGACCATGTAGACTGTAGCATTACCATTATTTCATAATATATGCAATAAACAATTTAAAACTGCAGATGGATATTTGTTAAGCTCTAACACAGCCAGTTTAGAATTATATGATGTATTATTTGTTTTAAGTAATCCCTACAATGTAAGTCTCTTAGAAATGTATGTACAATATTTTAACATGATAAGAAATTGAAATTAGATCATTGAAATCTGTTTCAATCTGTTAATCAAGGTAACTTGATTTTCTTGCACACCAACCAATTTATGATTATTGAACAATATTTAATGGGCGTATCATGCTGTGGCAGGGCACTTTTTTGTGTTCTTGTAATATGTTTGTCATGTTCATGGTTTCTGGAGTTTACAAATTGAATGTTGAAATTGAATGTGTTCAGGGGTCATTTGGTTTGTCACATGAGAGAATTTTGATTGGCTGATTTGTAGGAGGACTTGTGAATGGGGCCCGCAGTGGGGAACATGTGATTGAGATGCCGACGGAAGAAAAGAAGAAAGAGGTAACAATCAAATAAAAATATAAACATGCCATGAAAAATTACTATAGTTTTTCAACATAATGTAGCTCTGATTATAAATAGCTATGATACAAATTTTATAAATATCAATATGTTGTTCCTGAGAACAAAGTCTTCTGTTTTACTATCCATTACAGTTTAAATATATAACTATTTTCTGCTAGAGAATTTATACAAAGAAAAATTGGCTTCAATCTGTATTAATCATTGTAAAGGATATTGATATTCTATATTCTCTGTTTATATAGAGAATAATACATACCCTTTTCCATATTACATCCTGTATCAGGCCGAGACACCAATATCAGTCAGAGGAACGAAGGAAAAGGGTATGTATTAATATGTTTATTACACACTTAGTAATAAAATACAGCATGCATTAAATTGAGAAGAAAATAAGTAAATAATCATACCTGCACTTCTTACATAATTACATGTACATGGTCTATTGTCTCATACGAGTTGGGTTTGTTTCTACTTCTATTTCAATGCACTTGATTCGTAATTAGAAAATAATATATTACTTGTATTTGTAATTTAAGATTAATCTTATTTTCAAAAGTTAAAATTAAGAGAATATGAACCCATCAAAAATTTTGTATGATCACAAGTACTGTTTTTGTGGTTTAATTTACTAAGGGTGTGATATTGACGTCACAATATTAGCCGTATCAACCCTGCAGGGCTATATTGGTTATCAGCCCCGCAAATCCATATCAGCCTGCAGGGCTGATACGGCTATTGTGACGTCAGCAATATCGCATATGGAAAAACCTGTATTGGGTGTAATAAAAAGTAAATATACCAAGAGTCAATTTTACTATAAAAGGGGTAATGTGTCTGTTATAACTTTAAAACGAATTACAAATTTGTTTATGTATTACTTGAATTATACATTGTATATCATGAATATATATTAGCTTTGACACTATTTTCATTAATCTCTTTAAAAAAAATAAAGTAGTATAATACAGAAAGTAAATACACATTTATATTCAAATTTGGGGAGGGTGCATGTAGAATTATAAATCACATCAAACTCACTAAGTAGTCAGCCAGAAATCAGTATGTTATTGGTGATATTAGTAACAGTACAAGAAGACTTAAAATGATCCCACACAGTCCATATTTCAGTCTAATATAGTCCTAATTAGAATCGTCATCACCCCGTCCTAGCTGATAGACAGGGTTTGTTTATGTTCTGTTGTTATTTTGTCACCATCAGACAGGAAAGGCAATTCTTGTTAAAGCCAGATCCAAACTGGACAGTGCTCTACAGCGTATAAAGGTGATGTTTTACCCCTGTATCTGGCACGGGGACTTTGGACTGGACATTTTGCAATGAAACTTGATATAGAATATATAATATACCACATTGCTTTGAACCATGACCTCTATAAGCAGTCATACAGCTTTATAAATCGTCTTTTGTTCTGATCTTAGAATGAGATATTTTAATGTGGTTTCCTGACAATAGAATTCCCTTTTAATAATTATTGTTCCTGTCGTATCCCGTAGCTTGGAGGGACAACCCTTACCAAAATACTCACCCTCTGGCAACATCTTCTGGCATTATTGCCGCAATATTGCAGCAAAATTCTGGCAATACATTGCCGCAATATTGCGGCAATATCGTTTTTCGTATGTAAATTAGATTTGCGGCAATATTGCCAGAAAAGTGTTGCAGCAATATTGCGGAAATATTGTAACAACATTCTGGCAGTATATTACAGCATTATTGCGGCAATATGGTTTTTCGTATATAAATTAGATTTGCGGTAATATTGCTAGACAGGTGTTGCGACAATGTTGCTGCAAAGCAATTGCAGTACATGTATTATTTCGGGTTTTGCTGCAGCAATGTTGGGGCAACACTGCAGTACTACCTATATAAATTGGTATTTGCCTAGAAAAAATTATCTAACAGTCTAACAATTAACAGATTGTGCTGAGGAACATAAAAATCAATAGCATAATAGGCTACAGAGTCAGTAAGAAATAGCTACTTAAGCTTATGCTATTCTTTGAAAAGATAGAAAAAATGTGTTGAAAAAAGATGTGTTTTTAAAACAAGCGGCAACAAAGTTTGGAAAACCATTATTAGAATATAGGTCACAGTCAAAGTCACAGGTCATTGATCTTGGTATCATTTGAAAGAACTTTATTAGTGGAATACGCATCCTAAATATGAAGTCTCTATCTCTTATGGTTCAAAATTTATGGTGGAGGTTTAAAAAGGCTATTTTTAGCACATAGATCACAGCTGTGTTCACAAGGTCATTGACCTTGATGACATTTGAAAGAACATAATTAGTGGAGAATGCATACCAAATATAAGGTTGCCATCTTTCATGGTTCAAAAGTTATGTCGAAGATTAAAAAAATCTATTTTAAGCATATAGGTCACAGCCAACGTTCTTGTCAAAAACCTTCGTGTCATTTTAAAGACCTAGCTAAATTAGTTGAGCATGCATACTTAATTATAGTCTGTATTTCTCATGGTTTTTAAATTATGGCGAATATTCAATTAAAAATTATTTTTAGCATACAGATCACAGTCAAGGTCACAAGGTCATTGACCTTGGTGTCATTTGAAAGGACTTAATAAGTGGAGTATGTATACCAAATATGAAGTCTCAATCTCTCATTGGTTCAAAAGTAATCACTTATGGCGAAGGTTAAAGTTTACAAACAGACACGACAAAAAACAATATGCACCCCCAATCTAATCAATCCCGGCACATAAAAAATGTGTATATAAAACATATCAATATGCCACTGTGAAAATGTACAGCAACTCTGCATCATTTTTCAAATAACCTAATTAATTAGCTGCCCATCACATATTCCCCAATGCCAATTAATCAGTATTATGTATAATATATAGCTTGTTTGCAATTTCCAACACATATATAGAATCATTATTTTCTTGCAGGTATTAAGATTTATGCAATAAATTAATTATATATGTTCATGCATTAAATTGATAACATGCATTCATCTTTTCCTGCAACAATGGTATGATATATATTAGACATACAAGTATGGTATACATGCATCACAAGCACTAGTTGAAATACGTATAATTTTTCTTATTTTATCTCCGTGGAATCATTCATCTACAAAAGAATATGGTTTTGACTTACAAAGTTTGATATGTATATACCATGAAAACAAAGTTAAACATTCCTATAATTCTTTCAAAAGGCCATGCCATGGAAACTGCTAAAATTCTTTTTTTTTCTGGCTATTCCACATTATTCAGTCTTACTAGTCATCATGTATAATCCTACTGTACACAATTAACAACTCCAATGAACTTGATACCATTCAATACTGAAGCAAAACATGCTTGCCTTTGAATTCCCTCCATTTTATTTAAAAAGAGAAAGTAAATGACTAAGCATGCTCAAAAATGCCTAATTGGTAATCCTAGATCTTCTGGCGACATTCTGGCAATACTATGTTTCTTTGAAAATCTTTAAAGAAGAATAAAAACTTGAATATCCCCTTGCAAAAAACGTTTTCATATGACTTTTTCCCCAAGGGTCAAGGTCAAATTAAATCTAGGATCAAAGTTCAATATTAATGTCTGTGATAGATTTGACCTAAGTTTAAGACACAAAATGTAAAATAAAAATAATCTATTATATTAAATAATTTTAAGTCTCATACTTGTACATGTAACACATACT